CAATTGGGAAATTAAAATAATCTTTACCTTCGGGCGTCAGAAAACCATCATATTTTTTTACGCATCAAATAACAAAACATAAAATACATATATTTTATCAGAAAACTTTAAACAGACTGTATCATTACTTTGTGTCTGTCAATATCAAATTGAAACTTTATGAATAGCCAATATTTCAAGAAAACTCTGTTTTGTAAGTAAGCAAAATCATGTGTAATTAATCGAAAATAACAATAATATCTAATCCATACCGAGATTTGCTTTATTAATTACGGAATCATCTTGTTTGTCTTAATTTTATTTTATACAATAATTTAAGTATTTTATTTATCGATTGATGCAGTACAAAGTCTACCGGGTCAGCTAGTTGACTATAAATACTACTTTGAAATTACATTATTTAATAAGTATGCTTTCAACTTTGCATGAATTCATAAAAATTCGCTACGGAAATTGATATCAATAAATATATAATATAAACCTGTGTAAATATACATATGTACATATAATATTAAAAGTGCTAACATACATCTGTAATAGCTACGTACATGTACATATGTATGTATATACAGAGAATAAAAAACAATGAGAAGGTGCAAATCGAATATCCTACGATGCTCAATTTGACGGCTAACTAAAAAAGTTCAAAGGGGAAATTCACCATATTCGCTGCCATTTAGCAGATACATACATGTGTAAAAGAAGACTGTTTATATACAGATGAACGTCCACGAAACAAAAAAATTTATTGTTGTATGTTCTCTGGCTCAGCTTAGCAGTTAAAAAATCTCCTTCCGACCTAGCAGCAGTGAAATCCGCCCATGATGGTTTGTATCAAGGTAGTACGCAATTAAATCTTCTCTATAAGTTCTCTTAAAGCGTGTGAATTGTCAAAATCTAACAACAACGATGTACGGATTTCACCGCTTTTAAGTTACATTATTTTATTTTTGATAATAATTTTTTGTAAATGAATTAGACACTTTCACTTTAAATAAATGTACGATATTTTTTAAGTTAAATGTGAGCAATATCATTTAGTTAGAATTTTCTCATTTTCTAATCATCCCTACACAAATAACACCTCTGTAATTGGAATTGTGAATTTGACATTTCAGATCTGCCAACTTGACGCTAAAATAAAAAGCATTTCTTCCTTTCCTAAAAAATCGTGTCTGTGTTAAAGACGTGTTTAAATACTTTTTAAGTGTTTTCACAGGTAACATTTTGATTAACTCACAGTAAATGCCTGCGAAATGTGACCGCTACTTCTGCTTCTCGTATTGAATGTTTGTTCTCCGAAGGAAGCATATTTCTGTGTCTTAAATACACGTGTGTTTCTAGTCATATAGTACTAACAAATGTCAAGCGAGACACATTTTGTGAGGTTATGCTACTGTAGATATATGAATAATAGACCTGATATATGATTTCATCTCTTTTAGTACATCTTCAAAATGTCTGGTACCACCGCAACTATTCGCACCCGCAAGTTCATGACCAATCGGCTATTAGCTCGTAAACAAATGGTTTGCGATGTTCTGCATCCTGGATTGGCTTCAGTCAACAAAAAGGACATCCGTGAGAAATTGGCTGCTATGTACAAAGTAACTCCCGATGTCTGCTTCGTTTTCGGTTTTCGTACCAATTTTGGTGGTGGCCGTTCAACTGGGTTCGCGCTTATTTACGATACTTTGGATTATGCCAAGAAATTTGAACCTAAGTACCGTTTGGCTCGTCATGGACTATTCGAACAGAAGAAGCAGACCCGTAAACAACGCAAGGAACGCCGCAACAGAATGAAAAAGGTGCGAGGTACTGCGAAGTCCAAGATTGGATCCGGCAAAAAGTAAATGCTCCACGAAAGTAAAAATTAGAGTTATATTCTGACATTCTTCAATATTTGTTGGTGTATTAAACTTTTTTAAAATACAAAGTAAAAATAAAATTAATTTTTATTTTGAAATAGAGGTACTATCAGTTTTTATTGGTAATGGAATAAACGTATACGCATTTCGTAATTTTTCATGCATAAATAAGTAAATATCAACTAAACGAACGATTATACCAAAATTGAAGCAAACGCAAATGGTTAGTACCAATATGCACTTAGGAAGTACTTGTACATATATGTATGTATGTGAGTATAAGTATTTACGTACAATAAAATAACTATTACTGAAAACAGTATTCACATCAACTTAATTAGCAATTATGTTTAACATTGAATGAATTAAGTTTATTTCACTTGTTTACAGAACTGTTTATGTTTTTGTTTGTTTTCACAGTTTTTCAACTTGCATACTCGCATTCTATAATATATAGCGCCATCGTTAGTCGGGTGTCGCAATCTAGTCTCATATCATTCTTGATTTTGATATTGTCTGTCACACTCTTTTAGCGTTTATCTAGACCATGTTTTGGACTTCAAAGCGGGAAATCCAAAAAGCGTATAGTTTCGATGGTCTGAACCATATGCAGAGGGGCATTAAATGATTGAAATTTCCCAAGTATAGTTAGTCTCTAAACATGTTGGTCGCTGACTACCAGAAATTTCATAATTAATGTTAACGCGATGTGAAATATGCTCATCTCTTTATGCTCTTCTACGGGAATTTTTATCGTTCTCTAGTTATTCTACCAAATTCCGAAATATGGTAAGTTAATGGCAAGCTGGAATTTAAGCAGGTGAAGACGAGTTGTTATGAAAAATGTAATAAACGTTTCCCACCACTGTGGGGAAATGCGAACAAATGTTCAAAAGTTTTTAAATCCATGCGGACCAGCAGCTGTTGCATATAGTTGGTCAGTTGTTTACATTTTGGTCCGAAAAATGCAGAAAAAGGAAGTAAGTCCATTTGCCACGTTAGGCTTAAGGCCTTGGTTAACAAAACAAATTCAAAAATTGGGTTAGTAATATGTAACAATATTATATACACTATGTATGAACGACGAATTATTGAATACAATAATTATCTTTCAGGACTTAAAACGGCCACACCAATTCAGCAGAACTGCATTCCAACAATACTTGCCGGCCGCGACTGCATTGGAGCTGCTAAAACGGGATCTGGTAAAACATTTGCATTTGCATTGCCGATTCTCGAAAGACTGAGTGAAGAACCGACCAGTCATTTCGCGTTAGTGTTAACACCAACGCACGAGCTTGCTTATCAAGTACATTTCCTGGTTAAGCATGGGAGCATTATTTCAAACAAATCTTTTAATCCTAGATTTCGGAGCAATTCTTAGTTGCAGGGCAACCGATGGGGGTGCGCGTATGCGTAGTCTCTGGAGGTACTGATCAAATGATAGAGAGTCAGAAGCTTACACAACGCCCGCACATAATTGTTGCCATGCCTGGACGGCTAGCTGACCACTTAAGTGGGTGCAATACTTTTTCCTTTGATAATCTTAAATATTTAGTTGTTGACGAGGCGGATCGTATGCTAAATGGGGATTTCGATGAAAGTATGGCCATAATCGAAAGTTGTTTACCAAAAAAACGACAAAATCTCTTCTTCTCAGCTACAATGAGAGATTTTATTAAGGAATCGAGTATATTTCCCATCGCGAAAGAAGTATGTACTTATTTATTTTATTTTTTGTTACATTTTATTAATTTCTAAAATGTACAAACATATTTAGTGTTTTGAATGGTCAGAAGAGTGCGAAATTGCAACGGTGGATACACTTGATCAACGTTACATTTTATGTGCAGATTATGATCGGGATATGGTCTTGATAGAGGCGCTTAGAAAATATCGAGAAGAAAATGAAAACGCAAATGCAATAATTTTCACTAACACAAAAAAGTAAAACAAATATATTATTATCTATTTACACTCGTTAGAAAATGTAAAAATTTAACAAAACAATTATTTTAATTTCGTTATATTATATATTCTATATCCAATTTAATTTATTATTTCAATTTATGAAGATACTGTCAGTTGCTGTGTATGACTCTAAACCACATGGGTATAGATAACGTTTGCTTACATGGTTTTATGCGTCAAAAGGAGAGAGTCACCGCTTTAAATCGTTTTAAATCTAATTATGTACGTACACTGATTGCTACTGACGTCGCTGCACGTGGTTTGGATATACCAAGTGTACATTTGGTAATTAATCATCGCTTACCGCGTACACCAAAAGAATATATACATCGCGTTGGTCGTACCGCCCGTGCTGGACGTAAAGGATTAGCAATATCTATACTTCGATTTCCACGTGACTTGGAATTGCTCGGTGAAATTGAAACAAAAATTAATACGAAATTGACAGAGCATCCAATCGATCGTAAATATTGAACCAATTTTTCTTGTTTGCCTTTCTAATAATCTTTTACTATTTGGAATCTAGAACGAATGGTGGAGCGAATTTTTATGCAAGTCAATGTAACACGACGTGAGTCAGAAATACATCTAGATAACAACGATTTTGAAGAACGCGCTCAGAATTATAGGCGTAAACAATGGATTTTGGAAGGCAAAGATCCTGATGTAATGGAAGAATCGTAAGTATATCGGTTTTTTATATAAACTACATCTTAATTTTATATGGTTCTAATATTTAAACGTGCATGCACCGTCTATGTTTCAAGTTTTCGTAAAAATCAGCGAGATAAATTTTGTGAGTTACGACGGCAACGGAAAGAACGCCGAAAGGAATGGTCTGAAAAAGAAGAAAAATTTACACAAGATGAACGTTTCAAAGCAATCGATGTTAACAGATTTGAAAAACGTAAAAAGGCGAAAACAGGAAGTGGTAATAATGGCACCATTTGAAACTAACACTGGAAGTTCTGTTAAACAAAAAAAAAATTAAATTCAGATACCAAGTCAAAAATTAAAATTAAGCGTAATCCAAGAGCAAATGTAAAACATATTAAAAATAAAATAAAAAAATAACCAAAATTTTCATAAAAAAAAGAATAGTAATTAAAAAACGGCGTTTCCATGTACAAGATATTTGTACATACATATATAAAATTAATATCTGTATATGCAAATTTATTTGTTTATTTTCAACAATATAAATAAATGAATATGCACTAGGCAGACACACTTTACATTCATAGTAGATATGCACTTAAATCTATTATCTAATAATCTAAATACATACACATTTGTATAATTATTATAGTTTTACATACGTACATATATACAATATTATTCAACATCATAATATTTATGCCTTATGCTAAAAATATAAATTTCGATTTAATCTAAGGATATGGTAAGTAATGAATCTTCTGGGTATACTTCCAACAACGCCTTCGCCCCATCATTGAATGGATATGATATGCTACCATCAATAACAAGATCTGAAAAAATAATAAATCGTTAGCAGATTTATTATATTTGACACCTGAAATGATATTTTAATCACTTAAAAAATTTTACAAAATATAAGAAACGATTGAGAAATATGTGAAAATAAGTGTCAACTGTCTGAATAACTAAAAACATGTTAGATAAACAACAAGAGAAGCAGTCATCATTTACTAAATGCAAATCGCTTTTTAGGGTAAGCAAACTCGTAAATGCGATTATATGTATGTATGTATTTAATAATTTCGTGCAGGATCCTAGTTTGCTATTTGAATTTCAAACCGAAACAGTAAAACTGCTTGTGTACAACTTCGCCATTGTATTGCTGATTGCAAATCAAGATGTTGGCTGGAACTATAAATTCAATGGTATATTGTGGCTCAACTCTCAGCAAACGAATTTAAAAATTGCATTTTTATGTAAAACGAATCATTTATGAATAATTGTAGGGAATGAAATAGCAAATCGATTTGGTCAAGAACTGATCGAGCCGACTATTTTATCGAAATTTGGGTTCTGTTTTCGATTGTTGACAATCATATTAAACACATTGGCCGTCAATGTCATCATTTATCCGGTAGGATATTGAAAGTAAAATATTTTCGCCTATAGTGTTTAAAATTTCTCTTATAGAAACGGAATAATCGCACATTTCTACTGCCATGTATACTTTGGAATTTTTATAGTATTACTTCAGTGGCAGAAAACATTATGGAAATTATATGGACCATGTACCTACTGGAGGTGCCTTTTCACTTATTCGTTACCATTTCAATGGTTGGTATATTTATGATTTGTTTACAAAGTAAATTAACTCTGCAAGTGTTACGTTTCTACGAGTATTTAAATTATGTATAGTAGGTATGTTTAGCGGTTGTCATGGATATATAGGAATTGTAAAATGATATATGTATGTAACATTAAAAAATTGAAATATCATGGCTATAAATATGCACTTACTAGCATCAATACAACGGGACTTCACAAATAAGCTGTTTACAAATTTGCGTGCTTTAAAGTTCCTTGGACTGGGCCAAACTCCCACACATATTTGCTCACGGATCGAATAACACAAGCGTGGATCATCTGAATCAAAATCATGTTTCCGCTAAGGATTAGTATGTAATGTAGATATTTGTAGATGTTATTACCTGGACTGAAACGTAAATTTTGATTGTACTGAGTAGCGATTTCGTCTGAATCAAAAATTGGCTTTGGTTTAGCATAGACGGGGTCAGGAATTGGTAATATGCTTAATAGGTCCTCTACTTGTTGGGATGTAATGCGATTTATGCTGAAATATGGGAAAGAAATAGATCTTAAGATATAAACTATAGCTCCTTTATTAAAAACAAAACACATTCAGTGATCACGGTTCGTTAAACACGAAGAATGTTTAAGCTACTGTAACCAATAAAGAGAAGAAATTTCATTTGCAACCTGCCTTCAAGGGAATCGTAACATTTAAGTTTTAACAGGATAACATCTGTTACGGGAAATCCTAATAAAATCTATACATTATACGCATTTACCTTGTGTGCCATGAAGTTGATCCTGTGCCAGTACTTACACATAACCCCGAACATTTTGTTTTATTATCTACGTTCTCGTGATTGATAACTAATTGCAAATGGGATACACGCGCCGAAAGTTGCTCCCCAATGAACACCTGCAATAAAAAAAGTTAATCCCATATATTTTAATGTTATATAAATTCTTAGTAACCTCGTTTAGCGCCAAATATGGCAAAACTCTTTTCATTTTGGCCTTATAACGTAACGACCAAACTTTGCTCAAATATTCTGGTTCAGTTTTCTCTTGCTCCATTTTGGTTACCGTGTGTCGATATAAGTCGGTGGATTCGGGTATTTTGCCATTACTGCCTAATATAGATGTACGGATGCGAGTTCGATACATCCATTGAAAATCACCCTGTCAAATAAAATTCATCCAAGCAATTAAAAACTGTAAAAAAAGTTTTAAATTTACCTACGCTTTTTATTTTGAATACCGCATCTGCTGTATTTTCTGTATAATGTTTTGGCAACATTAATCGTCCTTCTGATCTTTGGGGATCTGAATTAAAGCCAACAATTGGGGTTTTCTGTTGACTTTGAGCAAAAAGTGGACTTGCCCGTCCCGCTGCTAGCAAAAACGTTCCATCACCGCCTACCGGTACAATCAAATCAGCCCATTTCATGATCTCTTTGCTTAGAGAGCTTCTAAATTCGACTCTAATTTTAGTAAATTCAAACATTCATCAATCATTCAAACAGATGCAAACACATATGTATGTATGTAGGTATGTATATATGGGGATAATTTAAAAATTATGAAATCTGCTAAAAATAATCTTGCAAATTAATAAATTAAATATGTAATGAATTTATCGGTACGGAATGCAGTATAGGACCAGTTATTGTCAAACTGCAACCATGGATCATGGATTTTTTCATGGATTAATTTCTCTATATAGTGATAGTTCTTCGAACCAAATACAGTCAATGAGTTATGATTTGCAAGTACAGTCGACGCACACAAACCACTATTTTTAAAATGTTTCCAATTTCTGGAAGTTTTTGCTCTATATATTGTATACATATATATATATATAAAGCTATAAGTAATTGAATGCAGATGGCGTAACATTAAAAACTAACATATAGAAATACATTGAGGATTTCCCTATAGCTCAATTATCAATAGCAATAAACAATTCAAATACGCTGAACATTTTTAGGAACATTTAATTAGTGACGGTTCTAGTGTATTAAGTGTAAATGGTTTCTCTAAATATATTAATATGAAAGATGTCGGCGAGAAAATGCAACAATCAGACCTACATGGTATGTATATGCAATTACCTATTAGCCACCTTCACTTCACAGCCCACATTAAGAAAACTTTGCACCACATTTCTTTCAAAGTCCTTATGTAAATTGTGTAGGTACATGAGCATTTCAAAGTCAGTGCCACGATCGCGCAACTTCTTCTCCAATTGTTCTCGGCTGAGCTGTGGATAGCGCATCTGTTCGAATTCATATCGAGAAAACTTGGTAATGATTAATGCACGTTGTAATTTAAATTGGGTTGATGGAAATTTAGCCATACTCCCGTTGCCCTTGTTATAGCTGCTTATTTTACGCCACATGCGATATTCTAAAAGAATTAAAACATACATACATTGTGATGCATTTACTGATATCGGACAATAATTCAAAGAAATAAAACTGAATAACGGGTAAGTTGACCTGAACGAACGAATTTATAGATTATTGAGGATGTTTTCAAAATTCTTATAGTACAAAACGCTACATTTAGTTTGGGCAAATTGCTTAGTTTTAAAGAAACAGGATCAGATGGGACTTAAAGCTATACATATCGGGTAAACTCAGAGTTTACTCAACCAAATCTGATTTACAAGGTTATATTCATTCGTACAGTTAACTCTCCACCGTATAAATCATTCAATAGGGAATATGGGATGTCTTTAATAAAGGGCTATATTACTTGTAATAAAACGTCAAAAAATTATGAAATCGGTCCAAATCCATAGAACCAGTTTGATTTTATGTTGTTGTTGTGTGGCAAAATCCGGGTCAGTTTCGGTTACGTAGACCCGACCGTCGCAGCAAAATTTAAGAAGAATGTTTTGCTTAATATTGCTAATTTGTACCAAAAAATTAGCAAAACTTTCGCAAAGGGGAGATGTTATTGGCGAAGTCTCTTGTTCTCGGCCCAGACCGACTCTTGGTTGAAACGCCAAAGAAGATATGAAAATATTTGATTTTCACTTTTCCACTCTAGCACATATAATAAATGAATGTTATGTGAAGTTATCTGACTGCACTAAAAATTAAATAGTGGGATGAACCTTGAAAGTATACCATTAAATTGTATTTTAAAGGAATTTGTATAACACCTGGCCGATTTTGATTCGCGTGTGGTTTGTACTGCAGTTAGTGAAAAATCGTCAATTAGGATAGAAGAATTAGACGAATTACTTAATGCTAAGTAAAACATAATCAATTTGACTTCAAAATAAAAATTTAAAAATAACCATTTGACGGGAAAATATTTTCTGGTATATTTACCGAAATATAAGAACTAAAGTTCGACGGAAATTTGAAATTCACTATACAACATTTTAAACTAAAAATATATTTTCACGCTATTTTATAAGGAAACTGATTAATTAGAGATAGTTAGAAATAAGAAAAATGTATCATTAATTATTTAAAGTTAATTAGAAATAACGAAAAAGGTTATTAGTCTAAATATAATAAAAAAAAGAATCAGCCATTGGGACTAGAATACGAATATCCCATATCTGGGACTGGAAAAGATATTGATCGATTTTTATAAGAGATATCTGCAATTGTATATACGGAAAGACTTTTTCGACTACCCAATATGTATATATACATGCTTAGATAGGATTAGATACTGCACAAATATAATTAGTAGTATATTTTTATTGTATTTGCTCACATCCGACTCTACATAAGCTATACAAATATTTTATACCTAATTATATTTTTAATCTTTTTAACTGATTAGTGCCCATGGCTCTGTCAGTTCAATAGTTGATAAGGTTTTAATTTCTTCAAAGATTAGTTTTCAAGTTTTGCTTTATTTCCTTTTCGGATTGTTCTTCTTTCAAAATAAATGTCTTATCAACAAACTTATCCCTCTTAAATATTTGTAAAACATTATACCTATGTATACATATGTTCTATAAAAATTGGTATTGCACAGTGTGAACCAATATTCACTTGTGTTTGGATCTTTTTATCTCTGCCTTAGAAGGTCATAGATTATTATTTTCTTTTTATAGAATTGTATTCTCACGAATTTGACAAGTTTGCAACAATAAGCTCAATAAATATATAACAAAACTTAAATTATTAAATATTATTTTTAATTTTAAAAACAAATAATACATATAAAACAATTAAAATAATTAATTTTACTAAACAAATAGTATATTTATATATACTTACCTTTTGCAATTTGACGAGTCATTGTTTTTGATTTCAACATTTTTGTCACCTATTTTCTTGTATTTTTTGCTATCCAACAGTTTCGTTTCTCCCAATGTTAATTACTATAGACCACTCCAAAGCAAAGAATGAATCCAGTTAGGCTTTTATACTATAGGATAAAGTTTTTATTATTTAGTTTCAAGTGCATTTTTTCTACACTTTCATTAAGGTCGATTAAAGTCTATGAGTATAATAAACACAACAAATTTTCGGCATTAAGTTAAGTAATTACATATAAAAATATATTTGTATTCACTACTTCTTTTTAAATAGCTGCCGAGAGAATATATGTTCTATGTATACTCGTTATGTATGTATAATCATATACAAATTATGTATATTTACTGGATTTATTATAAGGGAAGGGTTTTAAAATTACTTAATTTCAATACAACAATTTTACATTCTTTTGGTGCCCATCTATATGTGTATTATATTTGCAACACTAAAATTGAAAATTAATGTTTACTTTCAATTCATTACACCGGTTATCTCAAAAAAATATTCTCGCTTTGACTTATCGGACATCACTGATTTTACAATACTCTAGTTTATGTTACATATGTCAATATTTTATTTAGCTACGTCAACCATTATAATTTGATTATCTCTGTTGAACACGCTGCATTTCAAAGTATTAGTAACAAAGATAATTAATAGTCGAGTCGTCCAATTTATTGATAAAAGGGGCATATATTTGTTAAACTAAAATTACAATTGCTTCTTCTTTCCACACATTGCGATCACAATAAAACCATATTTTCAAAAGTCGCCCCTTTTATTCGCGACTCATCGTCCTCTAAAAATGTAAAATAAGGTAGCATTACCAAAGACTATACAAAAGAAATCAATAACGATACGAATATCAAAATGTTCCAATTGATTTTTTCACAAATACATCTATGAAATTCAACTTTAATTTTATAATCCATTTAAAACATAAAATAAAAATCCATAACAAAAGCAGAAAATAGAGAACTTATAAAAACCTCATTTCAGTATAAAAAAGTAAATGTGGCCAATTTTTTTAATAGATAGATGTTAAGTTTCTTCTAACTATATGTTTAGCCAAACCTATAGTTAAGTGTTACTCCACTTGAATTCGGTGTAACTTTGCAATTATCAATTCCTGAACCGTCGGAGCTTACGACCTCACCACTGGGACATTTGTAAAGTAAGGATTTACCCTAGAAAACAAAAAAAAAAAAATTTTATTTTAAAAACAATAATAATAGCAATAAAATACCTGTAACTCGTGAATTTCTTTTTGAATTTGCATATCGTATATCGGTTTGTGAACTATTTGTTGTTGGCCGGACTGAAATAACTCCAACAATTTCCCAGCCCACATTGCCATGGTATCAGCTTTCAAATTACTGTCATTGACGCCTAGCAAAGCTTTTATATCAATTTGTGCATGGTTTGCAGGTGGTTTCAAAACTTGTTGTGGATTGGTTTGTACTACTCCTGTTGTTACCCGTCCAGTAATACTTGGACATTCAATTGTCAGATCACGAACAGGGCCGACCTGTTTATTAAGGTAAACTGAATTGTTACTGTTGATTTGCTCCAGTACATTTTTGATTCTTTTACTACAAAACAAAGTGTTAAAATAAATTAAAAATCACAGAAAGGTCCTATATTTAGAACTTAAGCCATAATTGCATGAAATCTTGAAAATATAAGTTATCTAGATATGTATGTTCCGCGTAAGCTCAAAAATATTAATTTTAAATATATTTTTAATTAGCTTAATTCTTATTTTATATTTAAAGATGACTGGAAATGCAGAACCTAAACGATAATTTGATTTCATATTTATTTAGTTTGGGGGTAAAATGTTTAACGCCCGATTAAACCTAAGCTGACCGTTATTAGTTTTGATTATTTAAATTTATTTGACACTAAAAATGTGACTTTTAGTAAACATTTACGTACTTCAAATTATCTTCATTGTTTCGTTGATTAAAACGATGAATACGTCCATTATGATTAATAGGTAAAATATTTCCATTATATACTCCACTACCACTTCCTCCGTTACGATTCTTACTCCAAATCTTATTTTGACTTTCATTATTCATATAATTGTTTCTTCGATTGCTGCATCCATCTTTTTTGCCCCTACCGACATTCTGATTTTTATACCATCGCCGACGAAATTGTCCACTGCCTCCTAAAAACGACATTGCACTTTGTCGTATTTCCGTAGTGGAATTAGACTGGGTGGTTTTTTGTATAACGTTTCTTTCATTATCAGTATGATAACATTGCTCACCCCCTTTAATAGTACTGCGGTCAATTATTTTACTGTTTTGAAGCAGTTCGCGTAAATCATTGGGATTCTTTACTTTCTTGTTTGCTTCACTCGATAACTGCAATTCTGGATCATTGAACATCTCATCAAATTCATCCTTCATATAATCCAGATCAATATAATTGGTTTCGCAACTTGGACCTCGCCAAATGCCAAATGTCTTATTTAATTTACCACTAGAACTCACAGGAGCCCTTTCATCAGTTACTGATTGGAAATTTTTACTCATAACCTCACCATAATCGTTAGCATCATTGCTTATTTTAGAATTTCGACTTTCAGCTTCAAAGTTATTCGAAGTGTTGATACCTGCTCGTGTGCTTTTTTTATCAATACTGTGTAAACTATTTTTCCTTGTTGCAATATATTCATCTAAATTATATTATTTTATTAACATTGGGTTTTTCAAAACAAACGCATTTTTACCTAACGACATATCCATAAAATTTTCCACATTGGAAGCCATCGTAAAATTAGATTTTGTCAGTTGTGAAAATCTGCTGTCAATTAATATCAAATTTCTTAAGAGGCATTAACACCTCCTACTACTCTTCTCATAAATCAAACGTTTAAGAAAAGAGATGTTAATCAAAACTCGATTAGATGGTATAGTCTAACTTAGATAGCTTAAAGAATAATAGAAAACAAGTAGAATATTGTTACCAAACAGAGCTACTGCACAGTTACCAATACCGTTATTATTCATATGATGACATGCTGCCATCACTTTTATATCGCTAAATTTTTTTTTTTACTAATTTCACTTATCCCAATTCTTCCAAAAAATATTTTTTTTTTTTATTTTCAAGAAAGCTTTTATTTTGTACAACTATTGTACAATGCGAAAAGTATTGCACGTGTAGTATTCCCTCGGTATCCATCAGTCATCAAAATAAATCGCAATCCAAATTTCACAATAAATATTGAACGAGAGGCAGGCCCCATTGTCATGACAAAGACCACACAAAAGCCGTAATAATGAAGACATATTGCCACGGAGTTATAGATAAATCGTCCACCTTATAACACACCCTCAATATAATACAATATGCACTTATCTTTATTTCTAATTCCTACAACTTAACGCATTATTGATTAAAATATAAGCAGAACTTTGTACTTATACCTCAATTTTTCCTTACACGGCAGCACTCTTGTCTGCTGCACAATCCGGCAACCTTTATATTAAATATTTCTTTTTAATTAATTGCAGGCAAAAAATTGTGGTAACCATGCCTTTAAATATTATACACTAGATGTCGCGCTTATTTTAGTAAGTAGTTCGCTTCCTGATGCTTTAATTAGTTTTTGGATTTCGATCTAAATGAGAACACGTGCAATGGTGGTTTGGAAATATTTGTCTTCTAACATTGAAAAAGTTCGGGTGAGTAGTAGAATAAATGTATTATTTGAAGGCAAGATTTATATACCTTTGGTGGAGTATTTGTTCTTTTCATCAAAGGACAAACGTTTTGCCAAAGGAAAAAAGCTGTTGCTCTGGAAACTTCAAAAGTATAATTGAATGCACAAGTTGCAGCTACAATTTAATGTACATTAAAATAAATGGCAGTTTAATATAACTATAATGTGATCTATATTTACGTGTTGCATTGTGGAACATTCAATGACTCGCCATGTGGTTGGTTTGTATGATAATATGAGCCATGTGGTCTAGAAACATTGCAACACGTGCCTTTTTAAGAATTGTGTTAGTAAGCTTTTATCTATTTGTATGATAAAGACTCACTGATTTATTTTTTCAGTCTACAGCTGGATGATGAAAATGTCTAGTTCAGTACGGGATAATGCTTGTAAGTACATAATATCGATTAATTGAGTATATAAGTTAGTCGAGTACAGAGTCGCTGGTTTGAAGAAAAATTACACTTACTAGTGCTTTTTATTTACTCGCAAAGAAACTTTCTTCACCCAAGCATAATCCAAATTTGACTGTAAATTTGCGATGCATATTTTTTTTGTGAAGCAAACATTTCTGTATATTGATTCTTAATCATATTTTGAAACTAACAAAGATATCTTAATGTTTCAGTTTGGAAAAGATCAACATTTGGAGACTAACTGAAACTACACGGGAGTATGGAATTCAACTTGAGAATTTTTATAAGTAAATTAAAAAAGTAGTTATTTAAATTGTAAACATGGCACTGATGATAAAAAATATTTTCTTTTCTGACATCTCTTATGAATCAATGTGATTTCATTTGTTTTACTGATCGATTTCAAATAACTTTTATAATTATAAAAGTAAAGCATTTTGTAAGAACTGTATTCTCTTTTCTAGGATGATGAAAGTCTGGTGAAAAGACCATTCCTCATATTTATATATTCGTTGTTGGAAAAATCAGCGAGAGAATTAAAAAATCTCCAAGAGGTAAAAAGTTGTGGATTTAGCATCAATATACAATATTTCACTGTGATGATATTATAAACCATTCACAGACAACCATAAAATGGTACAACCTTGAATGAACTGTTTCAATATTTTTTTGAAATAAGTTTGTTCTGTTGTGCCATGTATGGATAATGGTTATAAAATGGCACTGACTTTCATATTTAGGTTCAAATTTATATATGTATATATATACCTCGATTTAACTTTTTTTTTATTTAATTTTAGAAACTACCATATGGATCAAATGTTAGCTTCTGGCGTAGTTTATACTACTAAAAAAAATTGGATCTGTTGGTATAACCAGGATATTGAAGACCGAGATGAGCATTTATTAGTATATGAATAAACAAAAGTGTATTGCATTCAATAAAATAACAAATATATGCAGCAATTACTTTAAACCTAACAAAAATTTTTTTTGTATTTAGGAAACACCAGACAGTAATAGTTATTTCCCTTATGAATTTTGATACGTTAAACTTGTGATGGGCGGAGTGCCCTATTAGTTTAAAAGCATTTTCAGGGAGTTTTTGAAATATAGGGCGTATACATACAGCTACGAGCTGTGAAATAATAGTGGGTGTTAGAGCTTTACATATCTGTGAGTTATGTAAAATGCCAAACAATTTTAACATCCATTGAAATGCAAAAGTGGATCATATTTTTCAGACTATGTTTATTACTAAAAATATTTAGATTTGAATATGTACAAGATATGTTCATTTACATGCTTATGTATGAAAATTGTTGGAAGCAGTAAAATAGTAGTAAAGTACGAAAAATCAAAAGAAGAAGCACTGAAAGATTTTTGCAAGTTTTGTCTATAGGAGATCTTATTACTTGGTAGCATGATCATGACTTTTGATAACTGCACTTCATCGCTTCTTCAGAGAATCTACGAGACTGTGGCATATTAAGGGTGGTACTATCTACCATGATTGCTGCACTACGGTCCACAACTCGTTGTTGTTTTTGGGTTTATCCTTCCACACGGCTTTCTTGACGTCTGCCCAACGGTTTTCAATAGGATAGAGGCCAGGCGATTGAGCTGACCTATCCATGACATCAATTCCATTGACCCGAAACCACTCCTTTGCCACCCTACTGGTATGCTTCGGGTCATTATTCTGCTAAAATATCTTTTTCAGCGGGATGTCTTCTTCAGCAAATGGTATCATAATATACTGYATTATATCCACGAATTTGTGTCGGTCCGTTATGCTAATAATCTTGTGAATTGGGCCTGTAAGAAAAATACACCAAACCATGAAATTCAAACCGCCAAGCTTCATAGTTTTTGTGCTGAATCTGGGGTCGTACTCTCTATTAGGGCAGCGTCTTAGATACTGACGGGACCCTTTACCGCCGTATAGAGTAACTTTTGACACGTCTGTCCACAAGATGTTGCGCCATTTCTCAATCGGTCCTTTGGCAAATTTAAGACAACTTGCTATATGATTTTTTTTAATAACGGTACTTATCGAGGACTACGGAGATATAAATTATGTTCATGTAAAAGTCTTCTCACTGTATGAACACCGTAGGCCACGTTCAGTTCACTCCGAATCTCTATAGCTGACATTCTAGGTTCTAGGTTCTAGTCCTGGCACATCTTACAACTATTGGTGTAAAATTCTCGGAAAGAATCCATATTGCTTTTTTCGTCTTTTTTTTTATAAATAATTGCATTGTGAGTCGTTGTGGCTTAACACCCAACAATTCTTTCCACTCCCTTGTAGGATTTATCGTTGTTTATGACAGAGTGAATCCATTTCCGTTTTTCTGCTTTTTACATTGAATAATAAATAAAAGATCAGGAAACTTACTTTTTGTTTGATAAAATTAAATTTTTTTAGTGAGAATTATCTGTTTGCAATCAGCTCACCGTTCAGTACTATTCTATTGCTCGCTCATAAAAACAGATATACCAATAAAATTGACTTTAAAAAAGTAACGGTAAGTGTTTCACACTTATTGTTATGTATAACAGGACCGTTTTACTTCAGAGAATATAACTAAAGTAATGATCGACGGCAATATTATAAAAGAAACAAAATTTAAAGCAAAACTCTCTTTGCCAATAGGCACTACTATTTCAATGCTAGCAACTGTAACTTCCGTCGCAGAACAGTAACATATATTTAGATATTGCTGATCTCTATAATTTACATACATATATAGCCCTCGACAATTATGTCTACATAACCGGAATTGTTGTTCTAACGGTATCTCAATCCCCGTTGGGATGGTAAGGGTTATCTGTGTTGTCGTCGACGTCATCTAACGGGAGGCCCAGGAAACGGAATTATTAATATTATCCGCCTAGGGCCTCAAATCGGTAGATTTCTGCTGCCACAACAACAATCACTTGCCTGCAGAGTAGATTTTACGGATTTAACTGTCGATGAATAGCTGTTTTTGTGTCATAATTATAAGATTAAACTAAATTAAAAGTATGTTTTGTTTTATTTAATATCAGAAATCATTTTTAACTAAATTGGCACGTTCCCTTAAAGCGAGTTCTTTATCTTGTTTCAATCTCATTCGATCTCCTTTAGATTTCTTCCCAATCCCTAACTTAGGGAGGCCTCTATTTAGTCCTTCTAATAAAATGCAAGCTTTACACGGTTGCTGAGATGATACGAATCCGCAGCGTTCACATATACCTCGAACTGGTTTTTTAACAGTATCTTTAAAAAGTAATTGCTCCCCAGAATGTATTATATCCATAATAACCGAGGGACGAACTCTTTCCAAATCTTTTAGGTATGCACGAGCATGTCCTCGGTATGCGTTGGGTGCGAAAACACACTCGGTTGAAAAGTACACCAATTTTTTAAAATGAGCATACATAACAATTTCCTTCTCATAAGTATATTTAAGAGGTTTGACGCGAGGAATCGTGTTCTCTCCCCCACCTGTTCTTATATCTGTGCAACGTCTTAAACGAGCGGTATCGCCACGCAAAATATTCATCAAAACGGTTTCTGCAATATCATCGGCATTATGTCCAGTTGCTATACTATCTACTTCAAGCTGTTTTGCTCCACGATCCAAAGCTTGTCGTCTAAAGACTCCACAAAAGGTGCAATTATTTGACCGTCCAATTTGTCCAACAATACGATCCATAGTCCAACCATACAGTTCATCATAAGAAAGAATTTTTAGAGGTATTTGATAGTCATCGCGATTTTTTTTAACTGTCTCAAGGCTGTCATCTCGGTACCCAGTTATGCCTTCATCGATGGATAAAAGAATTAATTGAAGACCATAATCATGGCGATCATTGAGTAATTTTAATACATAAGCTAAAACTGTTGAATCCTTTCCACCACTTGCGGCTACTGCAACTTTTTCTCCCTTTGTAAATAGTTTATTAGTTACTATAGTGTAGTGAATTTCTGCTTCAAAAGCGGCAAAAAAGCATTCTTTACATAGTGCGTCTGATGTTTTTGGGCGCTACATATATACACAAGAGATAATTAAACACAATTTCTAAGGCATTTTTGTTGACGATACTTACCTTTAGTACAGCATTTCGGCCACATTCCGTTTTACACTTAATCGGCATGTCTATATCTTATATATATATATACTTTAAAGCGATTCTTTTGTTCACTGAAATGTATAAAGATTTTTCTGAGTTTGTTTTGACAGTAGATATTATTCACACATGTTTCTTACTTGCTGTTTACACAAACAATAGTTATCTCGATAAACTTATCAGAAACAATATTTTTAATGAAGACAGTAAAATTAATACCCAGTCCCCTTTACATGAAAGCTTAACGCAATAGATACATTGGTAATGCGTTATCGCAGCAGATAATTTAAGATTGCTATTATGTCTTTCTAGCAATATTGCCAATGAAAACCGCGCATTGCTAATAATCATTGACCATTTATAATTATTGAATAATAGACGGTTATTTAAGTCTTAAAATATGTAATCTTACTTTTTCAAACAAATATATTTGTCAAAAATGTATATTTCTCACCAATTTATCCCTGAAATCTTGGGAAGGTATTCTAAAGTTTCCTCTAAAATGGCGTAGGACAGACATGTCTGCGATATATAAGAGCAAGCTTCAGATTTCACATTTAATTTTTGGTTCAAAACTGAAATAATTTGTGAGCTATATTTACTAATTTATGGGCACAAAATTAATTATTATCATATATGTATGTACATATGAATGATACAAATTATCATTAAAATATTAAATAGTTACAATGTGAATTATTTAGATAATTATCGCTGAACAAAATCACTATGCAGCCTTCAATGTAATATTGCTAGCGATACTAGTATCGATTACCTGTCGATATTAAAACCCTATTTACAGAGGTAAACAATAGAAAAACAAAACGACTAAACTATTCGTGCTGCATGTTCGTTTTTCACCTTTTTTTTTTTTGTACGAGTCAAAACAATATTTTTATTTTCGTACCAAATTCTTACATAAAGATATACATGTATTTATTTATTTATTTATGGAACCTAACGAAATTTACATAGTTTATGTGCAAATCATTAAAAGTGCAGTCGTATTTTATTAAATCGAACTCAAAAATAAACTAGAAATTGCCAATTAATTAAGAAGACTAGACTATACGTGCCAAAATATTTTGCGTGCAAGTTAATTAATAATTAGAAAAGATATAATTAAGCTTTTGCATAATTACGAATTATTTTTTATCATATCGCGAAACTTCATTTAACCAAGTGATACCAGTTATGGGCAATGCAGGCAGTAACAGTATGAGCCGTGAACGACATAAGTCAAGTGACCTTTCAACACCAAACTCTCCATTTCGAGAAATGTCTGGACGTGGTGATTCGATTTCAGCAACACCTGGGATGAGTGCAGTCGGTGACATCGGCGGCAATGGTGTTCAAACCTTTACTTTCGATAAAGACGTAGCAAATGACAAGAACGCACGCTCAGTCTTGCTCGGTGGTTCCTCGCAAGAAGACGAAGATCAGCCATATTACACGAAGCCCGTCGGTAGCAGAGCTACTATAGAAGCAAACACCACACCCACCCCTCGTAAACGCGCTAATACTGTTTCCGAAGGCAGTACTACCCTGCTTCATAGTAATTCCGGCAGCATAATGTCTATAAAAGATGCAACTACTGATTCTAATGACGACAAAGATGAAAGCTCCATAATAGAGCTACCTAGAAATTCGGGTTTGCCAACCGTATTGCGTTGGGATGGTGGTGGTAAAAATGTGATGATTTCAGGCACCTTTTCAAAATGGAAGCCAATACCTATGGCACGTAGCCATGGTAATTTCGTGGCAATTATTGACCTTCCAGAAGGCGATCATCAATACAAGTTTTGTGTAGATGGAGAATGGAAGCATGATCCCAAATTGGTACGCAT